GAACATGTAAGCCGAACAATAGGTGTGGGGGGGAGTGTGTAATCAGAAGTTGAGTGGCGCTGAAACAAAAGACGAATCGACGCGATTTGAAAATCGCGTAACTCTGGGTTTGCGTAAGTCGAGGTATTACTGTATTTTCTTGCATATAAGACGAGGTTTTTATTCATTTTTTACTGCTTCAAAAACCTAGGTTGTCCTATATGTGCAAGCAAAGGATTCTTTGCGTTTTTGTAATAATTTTTGTGAACCGTGTATTCGCATTTTTTACTGGATGCTCACCCTCTTGTGTTTAAAAATAAAAGTATTTTATCTGAGTCGTTTATATCGTCCTTGTGTAATGTCAGGAGTAGCGATGAATAGCAATAGGAAAAGCAAAGCTTTTGAATTAAATTCCAAAATCATACGAAAACCTGATATAAGTTTTAATCCATTCCCATGTGAAAACAGATGATTATTCGGAAATCAGAATTTGGAGAAAACAAGTGTAATTGACAGAGAGTGGATTTGATTATTAATAAGAATTGACAAAAACGGTTTCCAATTGTCCAGCTTTACATGAACAAATTATGTTGTTGATTTTACAAGATTTTTCCTTAAAGTTTAAAATGCTTGTAATTTTTGTGGGACAATGTGTGCATTTACATGCATTTGATATTTTATTTGTGATTAAATGAAATAAAATTAGAATTGTATTAATAAATCTAATTTTTCTTAATTTGATCTTTAAAGTCACACCTTGTCCTATATGCGAGTAAATACAGTATATCATTTTGCTTGTTAGAAAGTGCATAAAATAATAATTTTTTTTTTTTCAATATATTTCTGGCTCTTATTTTTAACAATGGGAAAGTATGGCAATTGGTCAAAAAACACCCTCCACGATTTTTACATTTTTGGACATGGGACCTTGAAACGTTGTGAAATGCAAACAAAAATTGGGTATTTTTTCTGTATGTATGGATGCTTGTGTGTGTGTGTGTGTGTGTGTGCAATTTTGTTCATTCTCTTTGAAGCTGAATAACTCTTATACTTTTTGTAGAAAATTTCTGAAATTTTGCAGGGAGATTTGTTTACTGGGGATTGAGGCTATTAAATTTTGTTTTTTAATTAAAGGTTGAAGGGGTGGGGAGATAGACAAGTGGTTATGTGTGACATCTTGAGTAGGGTTGCACTAAATGATTTTACTCGTTATTAGCATTTATAATTTTTTACAAAACTTGTCTTTACCATCAAAATTAAGCTGTTTGCTATTTTATAATACAATGGGTGATCGGTTAACGAACAGTTTGGATAACGAATACTTTAGCGAAAGATTTTTATGATTGGATAACAAACACTTTACTGAACAAACATAAAAAGAAGCGATGGAAAATAACGAATACCAATTGATTTTTCCTTGTGTTCAGGTAACAATTCGAAACCTTTCAGAGTGCGGGAGATGTCAACATCGACACTCAACCCTATACTGATCGGATAGTATAATATTCCTCTGAATTTTGAAACTCTCCCTTGTATCAATAATTCCAGCTTTTTGTTTATCTTTCTGACAAATAATTTTTTATAGTTTTCTTGAGACTGTCGGACAGACACTTGTTAAGTTTAGCATTGAAGTTTATTTACAAAAGGTGAAAGTTTAACTGTCCCATCGGATATTCATTAACGTTTTAATACCAAATTTCGAATTTCATCTGGGCCTTGCATTTAAATTATTTTTTGTGGGCTAGTTGATTTCTGTTCTCTGAATTTTTGTAAGTGATTTTCTGAACTTTTTATTTAAAAAAGAAACTGATAATATTATGATGCCTAAAAAGAGTAGTGTCAAGAACTGTGCTCACCGTAGAAACCAAGTAAGACATAATAGCCAAGGTAGAGAGTGGGCACAAAATGTCTGATGCTGCTAGGCATCAGATTTGAACATTCCTACAGTAGGCTTGAACAGATCTACAGTAGGCACAATCTTAGCTAAGAAAGATATATCAAGAAGTCTCAAGCTGCTAATGGAGTAATGAAAATCACATCTGAGAAATATAGAGCATTTTAGAGCTCATAATGGAACCTGAAACTGATCTGATGACAGAATTCCAAGAACTCTAAAATGAAGAGTACCAAGAAACTCAGCAAGATGTGTTTTTTTTTTTAAAAGAGGAAGACGAAAGAGGACCAATGTCAACATCTGCTACTAAAGATCTTTTGAAGAAGTGGGAGGATGTCAGAACAACGATCATCCAAGTGGCATCCAAACCGGAATAGGGTTAATGGGGTTGGGGATCTCTATAATTTTAATACTATTAATTACTTCCGAAAAATCTGAAAGAAAAGAGAAAAGCAATTGACATTGGGCAGATTCTTTAACCCCCACAAATGGAAAAAACATGACTAATAAAAATGCAAGACTGCATATATATGTATTCTTACTATTACATATAAATAAATGTAATAAAGTATATATTTTTTATTTTTTGGAGTCTCCGGAATGAATTAATTAAATTCCCATAAAAACGTATGGTAAATCAATAATCGGTTAACGAACAAAGTCTTGGAATGGATTATGTTCGTTAACTGATCACCCACTGTAATTAATTATTTAAATAGTTTTTTAATAAAATATCATAACAGATGGCACCACATATAGTTTTAAATGTTGTTGCCAGGATGGTTACACAACTTGTTGTTGGATTTTTTTTCTAGTGCTAGATTGATTTTGTTCCCTGTAGTAATTTGCAAAGAAACAATTGATCTTAGTTGATCATTAATTGTCAATATTCTGTGACTAATTAGTTATGTTGATTGCTATTGGCATATCATGAATAATTGAAGTGGAGCATTAGCGAGGCTTCTTTTATGAGGCTTACAGAATTATGGTTGTTGTCAAAATCCATTCAATCAATTTTGATTAAACTTTGCCATTTTCCATTAATTGGATGCAGAGTTCAAAAATTCAAAAAAAAAAAAAAAAGGATGCATGACTTCATTTTCGAAATACAGTAGAGCATCGATTATCCAACTCAATTGGGGACTGGGGTTGGTCGGATAACCGAAAAGTATGAAAAAATCCATTATTAGTGTAGTATATTATTATATCCCATGTAATTAGTATATTAGTATATCACTATTAACTTACTTTGTGTTGAATTTTCCTCCATGTTAAGCCTATCAAATTTTTTTTAAAAATAATAATCATCTCTATTGTATCGTTAAAAATTAGAAAATTAAGCCTTGTCTAAATACTGGCTCCCTTTCATGGTCGATCCAGTGTTGCCAGCTAAAACACGTAAAAATAATATTAAAGTAGCCAAGACATAGCCAAATATTGTAGCGCCACATCACTAGCAGACATTTGAATTTGCCGACTAGAACACAGTCAGTTAACCAAGGTGACAGTTAATCGGGGGTCGGATAATCGATGCTCTACTGTATAAGGTTGTTTCATGAGCATATGCAACAAAGCGATATCGCACAAATCATGCAACTTTGTTGTGCAATGTTTTACAGTCACTATCACGTCTTGTATGGGCTTACAGAATGCAGTTTGTTCTCTAAATTTAATGAGATTATTTTGATTAAACTTTGCCATTTTTCATTAATTGAGATGAGGAATCCAGAAATGTAATATGGATCTATTTAAATGTAAAAAATCCAGGAACAAATTGCTTAACTTTCTCAGGTCTCTTTTGTAGTGGCAATTGCAAAGTTTACCAGTTTGCATCCATCAGGTACTATACAAGAATTGCCTCTTCTGTGCTTAACAGGTGCAAGGATTTCTTCTTTCCTGTAAGCTCTGCTTCAATTCTGTCACAATATGACAAAGTCGTGCAATGTCCTAGTAATGTTTTATATGTATAAAATGAATCAAATATTTGAAAAACTTTATGTAAAGTAGTAGATTTCTAGAGTTGCCATAGTATAACTTACAAGATTCGAAAATAGATTGCTATGTAGAGTGACAGTTTTTCTGGGATTGATTTAATTCTAAATTTTTATTTAATTATTGAATGATTATTTTACTAATATTATAGTAAAATCAATAAGTTTGGTCATGAATTCAATCACTTATTTTGTGAAATTATAAATTTGAAATTATAATACCATTAACTTTTTGCAATTAAGATATGAAAAATGATATACAGATGGCATTTAAAAATTTTCTGGAAAATCTGAATAAAAAGACAGCAAATTGAATTTAGTACTTTGTTTTTTCAACATATGTCCCATTTAAGTTTAAACATTTTTCCATGTAGTGTTATCACCCGTCTAAGCCTTTCTGGTAGAAATTAATGCCTTTTGATTCTAGCTACTACTCCACAAAAGATTTTACTTGAACTGTTCACTGCCTTTAATGTCTTTCTTTTGTCACCAAATTAAAAAAAAAAGTATGATGGGACTAGACTTGAATACTTAATAAAATGAGTCTCAACAAGTTTACACTTGCATCAATTAATTATAAATATATCTTTCTGTTTACGAATAATAACAACTTTCAGGGAACTTTTTCAATGTTCTTGTATATGTATATTTATTAATTTTACTATTTGTATGAATTGGAAGCATTTTAATTTTTTATGTTTGTGTTTTTATTATTGATCTTATCTACAGTTGTGTAAAATATTTTTGATTACACAAGAGAGAATTTTAAAAACTATCTTAACAAAAGTCTATTTGTTAAGATCAAGTTTAAAGCCCATGAATGTTCAGCTAGATTCAAATCACTGTCCGAAACCATTGAAACTGCTTGACTAGTGAATCTTGGATTAATGAGGTTCAACATGTACTGTATTTAGATGATGATGCTAGCTATTAAGTATTAAACATTTTCATGTTTATATCAAGTTACTTTGAAGTTTAATTAAATTATATGTATTAAATTTCTAAAAAATATTTATATTTTGGACATATTTCCATAATAGATTTTTAATATTATTCCTTAGTAACATAAAAATAAGAATTAAACATATATATCAATTGAATAAAATTTTTAAAAATATTTGTTTTTGTATTTAAAGGTCGAAATTCTTGCAGGAAAAGACAAAGGGAAACAAGGTATAATTAATTATGTTGTTAAAGAACGCAATTGGGTGTGTGTAGAAGGCCTCAATTGTGTAAGTATATTGCTTAATTAACTAATTCAATGTTTAAATTTTGTAAATACAGTAGAGCATCGATCATCCAAAACAATTTGGGACTGGAGTTGTTCAGATAACTGATCATTTACGAAAAAAATATATTAAACACAAAACTGTACTGTATATATTTTGAATCACGCATCTTACAAATACATACCTTACATAAAATAGTACATTAAAGTAGGCCTACAGTTTAGGTTGGCAGGGAGAGGGAGAGTGCTGCAACTTTACAGCACTAGTGGAAATCTGAATTTGCCAATTGGAACATTTTTGGTTAACTGATGTTTCGGTTGATTGGTATTTGGATAATCAATGCTCTACTGTATATACGGTTTTACAGAACTCTGCACTAATATTTTAGGGGTACATTCTAGGATCAAAAGTAAGTCTGAAATTCTTTATAAAGATTTTCAACATCATCTTCAGTTTTGAGATATGGTCTGTTTAAAAAGATGCTTTTAAAAGTACCTGCCTAAATATTATCTTTAGAGTTGTCAATACAGTAAAAACTGCTTAGATGACCATCTGCATTCAACGAACACCTGTCAAAACAGGCAGAAATTTTATCATGGAATAGTTTATACATAGTCTGCATATAAGTTACCTGTATTAAACGACCACCTGTGTAATGCGACCACAGGCATCAATTTTTGGTTGGAAACAACATACAACAACTGTAATAAGCAACCACTTCTGTCAATATATTTGGTCTAAACTCTTGTTCGAACCCACCTCGGGCACTTCTTTCACTCTTGAAATTAGATGCAGGTGTTAATGAATTAGTCCAGATACAAAAGAAATTCATCTCAGTTTGTTTGAAAATGTTCGAAAAATGAAAAAAATGCAAAGTGCTGTTGTTAGAAGATCGTGTTAAAGTTATCAGAGAAAGTGAAAATGGTTTATCACAACAGCAATTAGTGGCAAAGTTTAACTGTGGGAAAACACAATTTATTGTACTGTAGACCTACAGTATTTTCCTTAGGGGTATAAAATATTGTACATGATACAATTAATTGGCTGATCTTATTGTTTGATGTCATTTATTATATTTATTTATTTTTTAAGCTCATATACAGTACATGTGCAATAAATAGTTTCTGTATCAATTTATCTTATTTCTGCAATATTTTTAGAAAAATAATATCCAAGTAATTTTCACACACAAAATATTCAAAAAAACAATAAATGCATTAATTTATAAATCAGTATTACAGGTAACCTTCCTTTTTCGATTCCATGATTGTCATTGATGTAATGAAATCATATTTTGAGAAGAAATAATAAAATTGTTCTATATCAATTTATCTTATTTCTGCAATATTTTTAGAAAAATAATATCCAAGTAATTTTCACACACAAAATATTCAAAAAAACAATAAATGCATTAATTTATAAATCAGTATTACAGGTAACCTTCCTTTTTCGATTCCATGATTGTCATTGATGTAATGAAATCATATTTTGAGAAGAAATAATAAAATTGTTCTATTATTAATTAATATTTTTCTTATTGTACTTAAGAAAATATTAAATATTTAAGTTAAAATAAGATTAAACTAACGAAAATCAAAACCAAAGTAGTGGAGAGATATGATGTGCTTCTACATCAATGACATAATACATGTAACTGAGGAGCGAATGAAGAGAACCAAGTTGAATTAAGTTGAAAAAAAGAAAGTGTGCATTATAATTGAGAAAATGTGAATACTGTATTAATCTTTAAAATATTGGTATTAAATGTCTTATAAAATCATGACAACTCTTGTTAATCGAGTTATCTGATAAGAATAAAATCAGTACCAATATAACTCTATCATTGAAAAAATTTGCTTATTTTTGCTCACTTCGGTTTTGCTTAGTAGAAATGGCTAAAACGTGCACAAAATATGTGCGGAAATATGGTATTTACATCACCATCAGTTTTGGCCGATTACCTGTCTAAAAGACCACTTTTTGAAAGGAACCGTGTGTGGTTGCCACAGACAGGTTATACTGTATTTTAAAATTAATTTTGTATTTATTTTTTTAAATAGGTAAATAAATGTTGCCCGAGTAGCCATATTGTAGTAAATGTAAACACTCTTTTCCACTTTAATCCGTGATTACATGCAGTTTTTTTTAACATGCAAGCATGCATAACATAATTTTCTGCTGATATTTCATGTGTAATTATGCTGCATGTAATCACGGACACAACACTGTTATAAAAAGGTTTTGTGGATTATTGTTATTGATGCTGCATGTAATTGCCATTCTTCAAATATGATAATTCTGAAAAATACTGTAAAGTTTTTCTCTACACATGCCAAATTTCAATGCAATATGTTCTTTAGTTTGAGATACATTTGTTACACCCAGCATTGCCTGGGTTTATAATTTATAAAAGTAAACATAGCAGTAATTGTTACACCTAGAATTATTAATCATAATTTTAAAAATGTATGTGATAAAACTCATTTTAAGAACATTATCAGAATGTCTATAAACTACATGAGAAGTATATCCTTATAAATTTATAGAATAATTATTAAAATTAAGAAAGTACCATTTAGAAATGAAAGAAAAAAAACTGAATTGTTAGAAGTGGAAAAGCAAACACTAATATGGTTTTTGCTGTGTAACACTTTCAACTGGATGCATGTGATTTCCCTGTGCTACCAGTCACAGTAATGATATAGTACATCTACTTTGTGCTGTATCATTGTTGCAGAATTAAGTGAATAATAATTTGTTTCTTTTTTAAATTATATCCTTTTTTTGTGCGAATTATATTTAGTTTATTATTTTTTAAAACTTTTTTGCCAGTAGATGCTGCTATATGTAAAGTCTACAAATCAAATGTAGACAGAAATTAATTGATATATAGAAATTAAATCAATATCTTGGGTGGTATTTATGACATTATCTATGTTAGAAGTATGTTAACATAACTGCTGAGTTTTATAGCAATTGGTTAAACAGCTTAGAAGTGCATAGTAAACAAACAAACATCCTCATTTATATACAGATTGTTTTGTTAACCAAACAATGTCCTTGATTGGACTCCCATAAGGAAGGAGCCGTTCATGCTTCATGGTAGCATGAGTTAATGTGAAACAAGTTCAACTGAGATAAATGATGAGAGGGCTGCATTCCAATATGGTAGCCATTCAAAACCAAGAAGGTACATTGCTCTCAAAGAAAGTGTTTGAGTGAGATTAAACTTATCTGTAACATGATTATAAGACCATTAAACATTATTTTAATAATTCGTAGAACTTCCATTTTTTTAAATTAATGGAAACACACTATTTGGCATGGAATATATCAATTTTTTAGCTATAGGTTTTAGATATTATTTCAAGCTTCAGTATGTGCACTTCTAAGGGCTTCAGCAAATATACGTAGTACGATCCAAAAGTTTGGGGACTTGGCTTAAAATTCCTTACCTTAAAAAGATTATATTGCCGATGCATAACCATCTTTAAAGTAATCATCTTGAGCAACGATACACTTTTGCCAGCGCTCGTATAACTTCTGGAAGTACCACTGGAAGCCATTTTTTGAAACCTCCCGTAAGGCCTCCTGCGATGCTGCTCTCACCTCATCTGATGACACAAAACAGTGTCCCTGCAAATGCTTTTTCATTGATGGAAACAAATAAAAATCACACGGGGGCTAAGTCTGGTGAATAGGCAGGGTGTGGAAGCACATTAATTTGAGTTGTCATGCAGAAGGTACCAGTCTCCACTTTGCCAGATCTGTGGCCATTTACGACGAATGAATTCTCTCAAATGACATAAAATGTCTAGATAATGCTCCTTGTTTACTGTTTTGCCTTCGGGAATAAATTGTAAATGAACAATTCCTTGAGAATCAAAAAAACACCTTTATCATGACCTTTCCTTTGCTCGGTGCATGTTAAGATTTTCTGTTAAAATATGCTGGCAACTAGTCTCTGATAAGTGAGTAGCCACAGCAATTTTTTCAAGAGTTTGGTGACGATCTTTGAGAACATATTGAGAGACCAACTCAACATTTGCCTTGATCCGTGAAGTCGAACGTTCATCGTCTGCGATGGATTCTCGTCCCTCTTTAAAATGCCGATGCCATTTGTACAGCTTTGATTTCGCCATGGTAAAATCACCATAACCTTTCTTAGCAATTTTAAAGTCTCCGTAGGAGTTTTACTTAAACGCTGACAAAATTTAATGTTGCAGTACTGTTCTTGAAACTTCATTTTTATTACGTTGCAAAAGAAAGGTAACTATCTCTGAAAGAAAACAACAGCGCTCACGGTTTAATCACGTGACATGGGCGAAATCAACCTGAACACATAGGAAAGGTTTGATAGAATCAATTTCATATGGTATAATTTCAAATACATGTTTTTGTTGTCATACATTAATGTAGTCCCCGAACTTTTGAATCGTACCACGTATACTGCTTGTTGTTTTCATACACCTTTGATAATAGTAGTTCCCATAGCTTCCTCTTATGGTTCAGATCAGGGCTTAAAGCTGGCCATTCTAATATAGTGATATTCCTATCAAGAAATTGATGTTTTGATGAGTTAGAAATGTGGTAGTTGGGTTTATCAAGAACATAACAAAAGCTATCTCCTGCAATCAAATGTCCTGTTGGAAAAAGATGCATTTCTAGGAGTTCCTAATAATAAATTATTGAATTAAGTCTATTTTTACAAGTTACTCTTTTGCTTAAAAGAAAATGATGCTCCATACTATTAATGAGCTACTGTGAAATCTGAACCTTTCTCTAGGTTCTTTCCAAATGTTATGTCAGTAACAAGCATTACTGTCCAGTCCATCAAGATTACATTTTTTTTATCTGAAAAAATTGCTTTATGCTGTTTTTTTGATGGAACATAACATTTCTAACCCATTTTAATCTTGCATCTATGTGCACCTTTGCAAGTTTTGGTTTTGTTTTTAGTTTGAGATACAGGTATCCTTTGCTTTTATGAAAGACCTACATCA